CTGAACGTGTACAATCTTACCATGAGCACTAAAAGGGTGGTTGCGGCTCTGCATTCCGCAGCATACCGTACCTATTAAACCATATATGTTCTGAAAGAGCAGAGAAAGGTGCAAACAAAAATGCAAAACAAATATACCATGGTTTTTAAAAACTGTATTATTTCTGCTTAGTTGAGATGTAAAGTGCCCTTGTGTCAGTGTGTTATACACATGAGGATTTGAATGCTATTTTATATGAAAAAATCATCTTTGGTTTCCTTTGTCCAGGGTTGCTGACTATCAAAAAATACGGAACAAAAGCTTTCAGACAATTAGTGTTCAACAGAGGATACAATCACATTTGCAGTTAGAGCACGTCTGGCACTACAACTCGCAAAGAAAGGAAAGGGGTCAAGTTTGTCTATCGATAATTCCCCTATAAGTAGTTTCCGCTGGAAAGTAACAGCTAAAACGTGATTGGATTTTATTCTTAAGAGAATGAATGCTGTCATGAGAGTGAGTAGTTTTACTTTGAAAAAGGTGAGGGGTACCACACTTCCCGCCTGCACGCTCGCCAAACGTACATCTAGGCGCAAAGTTTCTTGGTCAGTGACCTACTTGGCGTAGAAGTACTCAAGCAGCAGGAAGGGGGCTAGTCTGCCGTGATCTGACAAAACGCATTTTTCTCAAAATCAAGGTTTCGAGATAATCGCGATTGAGTGTTTTTTGCTAATTAAGCAAACAAACATCAATGTTGTTTTTGTTTGACTATCCCACATAAAAATATCTCTCATTTACCATGACTATGCCAAATTTTATTGAATTTGAGCTAAAGACAAACAAACAAACAAGAAGAATGCGTTTTATCAGATCTTCCTTGTACAAATGCGTTTTACTTTCAACGCATTAATCCCAGAATGATCTGATAAAACGCATTTATTTTCTGCGTCTCGTTAACTGTGATCCGGTAAAACGCATTTAAATGCGTTTTATCATATCATCACTGGAGAAGTCTTGTGTTTTGCTTCCAAATTCACTGCTGGTTAAACGTATTTTCTACGGCTGCAAAAAGGGTATTAACATTTCTTGTTCAGATTCTGTTCTACAGTTTACATACAAAAGCTTTTACTAAAGAAGAAGAAGAAGAAGAAGAAGGAGAAGAAGAAGAAGAAGAAGAAGAAGATGAAGAAGAAGAAGAAGAAGAAGAAGAAGAAGAAGAAGAAGAAGAAGAAGAAGAAAAAGAAGAAGAAGGCGGTGGAGGAGGGATAGGAGGAGGGGGAGGAAGAGGGGTTGGGGAGGAGTCTGCTATGTAGGGTCAGCATTCGGAACCGTGGCTGACCAGATAATAATAATATAACTTAATAGCACGGCACAACTCCCGGGCCACCTCACGGGCATCGTCCTCTTGTCGTTGTTTCGTCTTAGTCTTTTTTTGACACTTGAGATGTTGGGCAGTAATTTATTGATACTGCTCACACTGGTAATGGTAACGAAAGATTCGGTCACTTTTATCCAGCTATTAATTCTGGTGAGTGAATATGCCATTCGGTGATTTAAATGTGTACGGAATTCGTTTCTTGACCACCAGTTTATAGAGAAGACATGTGGTGACTCCTTCAACATGTATGCACAACAACTGTTCAAAGAATTTATGAAAAGGTATGTTGAAATCATGTTATTTTCATTGCATTTGAGGGAGCTTTCATTAAATTGTCGTGGCTCCTGTTTTGCCAGCCTTGAGTCGGGAACATTTTATTGGTCTGGAGTGACTGTAGAGGTAATGCTTTTGAAGAAGACAAATGAGTGACATGTCTTTTTAGTTTATTTTTGACACTTGCACCACTGTTGACGAGTTCCTAAAATATTCGTCTAGGTGTGAGACTGTTGTTAATATGAAATGAACTATTCAGCCAAATCACAAGGACACCTCCACTTCTTATTCGTCTTTAAACACGTGCCTTTCAGGAAAATCGTCCAAGAGCATAAAGACGATCACAGCTCTGACAAAAGTTATAAACCACCTTGGTAAAACGTCGACGTTTGCAAGAAATCCAAAGATCAGCAGCCACAGCAGCCACAGCAGCCACAGCAGCCACAGCAGCCACAGCAGCCTCCGCTATAGAGGTTCCAGCTTTCTCTGGTGCTGAGGTGATCACAGGTCCATCAGATCCCCATGTTCCTATCCCTGTAAAGAGTGCACGTCGACGCCTTCATTTGGGCGACGATGATTCTGGTGAAAGTGAGCATCTGTCAGAGAGTTCAGGTGTGTCAAATCCATTCGCTGACTCGAGCGAAAGCAGAGAGTTCGCTGAACTGTTGCCAGTTGCAACATCAACTCCAGTCCATTGTCCCTTGACTCAGCATGAACCAACTTCAACGCCGATGGTGGGAGAGCGCAGGTCTTTGTCTGATCTCCTGTCTGAATTTGACAATGTTCCATCTCCTTTGTCACCGATGCCGCCTTAGCAACAATCATTTGAAGAAAGCAAAGTGATTCTTGAGAATACGACTTTTCATTTCTCAAATTGTCTCTTACCCAAAATGCAGGCGAACCACCATTCTGTGTCTCTAAGGTAAGTCAGTCTGTTGCATCTCCAGTGCAACCCATATCAGCTTGCCCAACAGACTTTCTGCCATTGTCGCCATATCAGTACTTAATCCCTTTATCACCAGGGCAACTTGAAGAAACCCCCTCTATCTCAGATTAACTGTACCAGACTCAACCCCTTCGTCATCAGATCAGCTGTACCAAACCGCCTTGCCTCCATCACCCACGATAACACCCGTTGCATCTGAAAGACGAGAAGTACCACATTTTACTCTTAAGGAAAAGCACACCATTCTTCCTCCATGCAACAGTAAAATGACCTGCATCGTGAAAATCCCTCCACAAAGACGTCAAGTAATTCATGAGGAGTTTTGAAGTCAACCCTATAATGATCGCCGAAATTGGATTTTTCAACTCCGCTCGAATATTAAAAGTGAATTTTCTCAATTCTCGTGTACGCTCTAAAAAAACTGAGGTTAACAGGTCGTCGTCTGCTCTTTGGTTTTTTTCTGCACACCCTCGGATACATCCAATTCCGTATTTAACAGTTTAAAAATATCAGGTGCTTCTGCAAGTGACTTGTTTGCCCTTAGAGACAAAAGGGGTGCAAAAGACTTTATTGCCGCAATAGACTCCCGCATTGAAGAGTTCCACCCTTCAGTGAGCCACTACAAGCGAGAACATGCTCCTAATAGGCGATATTTGTCATCGGACATAACCATTCGTGAAATGCACTCCTATTTCACAGAGACGTATTGCTCTCTAAAGGCAGGGTACAAATCCTACCGTAGGGGAGTGCAGCTAAATCTTTGAAACGAGATGTGTGAGATATGTCTGAGTTTCTCACACCATGAGCTCCAGCCGCCCGCACTGGACACAGACTTGAGACGTGTCAACTGTACACAGCCCACAAGAGACGGGTTGCATCAAACCGTAAACACTAAGACAAAGATAGAGAGAAAGGCCCTGAATAAGGGTCCGAGATCATTGTATCGGCAGACATGCAAAAGGTCGTTTTGTTGCCTTTCATGCGGGGCGTCAAAAGCTGCGTCTTCCAAAACTGCCTTGTAGCTTTCCACGAGACGTTCGCACCCTTAGGACAGCAGGCGAAAAATCAAAGCCCAAAGCAAGTCAGATCTGTCCTCTGGCATGAGGCAACGTTGGGAAGGTCTGCCTCCGACGTTACTTCAGCTTTTGTTAAAGCAATTTGTGACATGGCTGAGGATGCAAAGGACATCATTAAACAGTGTGATAATTGTTCAGGACCAAATAAAACAGCCCTAGCAAGGCTGTTAAATGACAGCAGCAAACCTTTTCTCCACATGGTCACTTTGAAGTACCTTGAAACGGGTCATACATTCATGTCCTGTGACTCGTTTCATGGTAAGGTTGAGAAGAATATGAGAAGAAAGGGAAATATTTTCGGTTTTACCGATTTTGTGGCGACAGTGCAGATCGCTGGTGGGGGCCCGAAAGTATTACAAATGAACTATTCAGACTTTGTAAATTGGGACAAAAAGGTCAATTCAGCAACGCATGTGAACATTCAACGTATCAAACAGATGCCAGCAGTGGGTTTTTTTAATCTGCGTATCGACCATACGTCAACTGTGATCTGATGAAACGCATTTTTTTGTCCATCTCGGGAAGGAAAAAATGCGTTTTACCAGATCACAGGTGAAGTGAACGGTCGATACGCCAGAAAAAAATGCGTTTTGTCAGATCATCTCTGAAAAAGTTAGATCACGGCAGTAGTGTAGAATGAGTCGTTGAGGGGCTTATAAAGGGCTGAAAATAAACATAGCCCGTTGACTAATTAAGCTCGTATTTTTTCCTTTCCCAAAATTAGAAGCCTATTATAATAGGCCTACAGTTATAGCCGTAAGACAAGATAAAAGGTAATAATTGCTGTACACATGAACATTTGCGGGAAAAGCGCGTTTGTGTTACATGTACTACCAGTTTGCCATACTAAACCGGCTTGACCCTGCAGTCGCCTCGGCTGCCATTGTTTTGATGCGCGCAGAAACGCTTTTGCTGGTTTTCATCCGGGCATTCCAAGGGAAGTGATGCACTTTTCTTGGAAACTGGAAACCTTAACACCTTTCTTCCTGTGACACACTTAACCCTAAAAGTTTATTGACGCATTTTCGCAGAAGTTTAAAGCCAGCTTTTGCCTTTTTGTGTAGTTTGCAACTTTAATATGAGTTAGCTATATAGGAAGAATTGCTTTGTTACCACATGTACGTTTTCAAAATAAACAAAAACATACAGACGCCTGTACTGACACACATACGTGTGCACTAAAGTATTGAAACCCGTTTTGGTCAAAGAACAAAAGTTTCTATGAAATACTTATTTTAGTAAATCAATAGATCTAGGTCTATGTGTTTAGATCTACTTAGATCTAGATCTATGTCTAATTTAAGTACATGTAGAAATGACTTGAATCTAGATCTAGATATCTCAGTCGTTCATTCATACTGGCTTTCGGCATTGTATTGTTTGTATGTGACTGCGTGCCTGCGTTGGTGTGTGTGTGTGTGTGTGTGTGTGTGTGTGTGTGTGTGTGTGTGTGTGTGTTTGTGTGTGTGTGTGTGAGGGTGTGTGTGAAGGGCAATGAACTTCTTCTTGGTTTGGCTAGAAAAGTCGAAGATCACAAAAGTACTCTCATCTGTAGAGCGAGCAAAGTGTGGCTTCAATATAATAACGACAATGGTTGACGTCTTAAAGATGTTTCTAAAGGCAGAGACAGCGGGCAACTGGCTTTTATATCTTTCTACTATTCACAACATGTAACCCTATCTAATAATTAGTATACTTGTACCTCCAGATGATGAACAGGCTAGAAGAGACTCACCGTCATATCTATAAGAGTTTTGTTGGACATTGCGTCTCTCAAGTGAACAGCACAAAGAAATGAGTCCGTCGAGATCGGCAAAGTATGCGCAGGATATGATGGCTGTTGCCAAGTTTTTTTCATGAGAGAAATCCGTTGGCTGAAGACGCTAGTCTGAGAAATATCGTTACGAGGGTGCTTGCAAAAACAGCTGTCAACGTTGACAAAGCACAAGACGTTGGTCAAACTGTTCTCAGCAAAATGGAAGGTGGATCAGTCTCAGAATTGTCCTTGACGAAAAAATACAAGGTTGTTGTAATGACTGCAAAGACAGCTGTAAAAGCTAACCACGACCCTTTGACTCTAGCCTCTCAGTTGTTGTTTCAGAGATTAGTGACAGCTGCAACTTCAAAATATGAAGACACGACAGAGATTTTTAAACACGAACTTTGCAGCTACCCTTCGTCTGAATCTGCAAATATCCTTCATCAATCCAACAAATCAGCTCTGCTTTAAAAACTTTTGATATCAAGGACAATGGTTACGCCTGATCTGCCATCACCAGCTAACCTGCAGATCCTCAATTGATGGAGGGTCTTTACTGCTGTGCATTCCCAGCAACGAGGGAGCACCTTCATTTGTATTATCGTGACACAATATGCTTCTTATGTCAGCAGGAATTATTCAAACGCGACCTTTGTTTTTGATGGATATTTTTCTGGACCGTCGACAAAAGATATGACACGGCTCAAAAGCGCCAACAGAATTACAGGACAAGCTGTTCATTTTAAGTCAGACATGGTTCTCCAATCTTCAAAGGATCTTTTTCTTGACGAGAAAGGAAATTAGCTATGGCTTATCAATGTCCCGGGTCAATGCATGAAGACAGAGGACACATTGTCATGTACAGCAGTTGTGATGCTGACCTTAAGGTAGTCCAAAAAGCAATCAAGTGTGCGCAGCACAAAGATACCTCAGTAATAGGAGAAGATACAGATCTTCTTCTTCTGTTAGCACCTTATGCTGATGAACATGCTCATAACATCTATTTCTACTCGAACAAAAACATCCCAGCTTAAAATTAAAGCAATATGATATTAAGGAGGGGGGGGGGTTTACACCTGGAAGCTATCTCGCTTATTACAGGACCGAATTTTACCAAATTTTACACATATAACAAGCATAGTAAGGAGTCTTAAAATCCGCAATCAAATTTGAGAAAAAAGTTTCGTTTCCATGGATGTGCCACCATATTGGATTTTATTGACATGTCTTACGTAATGAATACCGCACTTATCGCTCATGGAAATTGATTGGGGTTTTTTGCAAGCGTGTTTACAAACATTAGATCTAAAAATTTGTTTGTTGTTTTTTTCCTAAACAAATTACAAAATTTTTAATGAATTTTTTCCAGAGGTAGCATTCAAGTTTGCGAAAAATCACTGAAAATCCACACTCCAGACACCACCAACAAAATCTATTCCATATATCTAAAATTCAACAGACAAATTGTTAGTATTGCTTCTTCTCTTCATTCTGTGAAAATTTCATGAATATTGGATGAAAAATGGTGGAGTTATTCAAAAAAGTATAGAGAAAAGTCGCAATAAAATACTGACTTTATGAGGAAATGGCGGTTACAAACATGCCCAGTATGGGGAAAATATACGATTTTTCGGGGTTCTTATGCGATGAAATAGTTGTAGGAGAGGCTGAGGAAGCTAAATATGCCTACAACTCAAATTCCATGATTTTGAACCGAATTTTGATTTTCAGGGTGTAGCCCCCCCCCCCCCCCCCTTAAACAATTAATTATACAACTGGGGACTTTTCGACATTCTTTGCTCTTTCTCCATTCCCTTACTGGCTGTGACACCACCTCAAGGACATTTAGTATCGGGAAATGGACTACTTTGAAAAAGTTCCAACAAAATGATGCTCTTAGAAGCTTAAATACATATTTTATGACAAACCAATTTGCCCAAAGTGTTGCTGCTTCCGTTGAGAAAGCCGTTGTGCTTCTGTACAATGGAAAACCAGAAGAAAGTCTTGACGAAGTACGCCATCGTATCTTCAGCACAAGTTGCAACAGGCACAGCACTTATGCAGGCTCGTTCACTCCCTCAGACATCAGCTGCAGCTAAGAATCATAGTCTAAGAGTGTATCTTCAGGTGCAGCAGTGGATGGGAAATGATACGCTTAATCCCGTAGAATGGGGATGGAAATATGAGGATGGACATTATGTTCCCACCATAACCACCATGTCGGCAGCACCCCAAGACCTTCAGAAAATTGTGCTATGCACCAGCAAGGACAACAGTGACACTCGACGCTGCTCCTGTCGGAAACACTAACTGGAAGGCTCACGAGCATGACGCAGAGTGCCATGGTATCCGCTGCCTCAATTAACAAAACATTAGTTTTGTATAGAGGGTACTTATGTAAGCCCATTTTTCTTATTGTGAAATTGTATATATAATATGTGTATTAACGCATTTTAACTTGTCCCACGTGTTACTGTACTACATGTATTTATGTATTTCATGTCGATTTATAGTCATCATGGTCCAAAACTTAAAATAGTGTTTTTCTAATTATATTTTGTCTTAATGACTGAGTGTCACTCTTAATGTAACTTTACGATTTCCGTTAATAGCTCTCTCTGGTCATAAATAATCATGAATGTAGCTTTGCAATTAAAAAGACAAGATTCCAAGCTTCAATATGAGATGCGACACGACGGGGGTGTGTTAAGTATTACTAATCCTATGTATGTTATGTTATATGTGGCGTTATTGAAAGTTTAATAACACCATAATGCCTCACCCGAATACATACATACACACACACACACACACACACACACACACACACACACACACACACATATATATATATATATATATATAAATATATATATACATACACACAAACATGCATACATACA